TTCTAGTTCAGTTCTAGTTCAGTTCTAGTTCAGTTCTAGTTCAGTTCTAGTTCAGTTCTAGTTCAGTTCTAGTTCAGTTCTAGTTCAGTTCAGTTCAGTTCTAGTTCAGTTTAGTTCAGTTCAGTTCTAGTTCAGTTCTAGTTCAGTTCTAGTTCAGTTCTAGTTCAGTTCTAGTTCAGTTCTAGTTCAGTTCTAGTTCAGTTCTAGTTCAGTTCTAGTTCAGTTCTAGTTCAGTTCTAGTTCAGTTCTAGTTCAGTTCTAGTTCAGTTCTAGTTCAGTTCTAGTTCAGTTCTAGTTCAGTTCTAGTTCAGTTCTAGTTCAGTTCTAGTTCAGTTCTAGTTCAGTTCTAGTTCAGTTCTAGTTCAGTTCTAGTTCAGTTCTAGTTCAGTTCTAGTTCAGTTCTAGTTCAGTTCTAGTTCAGTTCTAGTTCAGTTCTAGTTCAGTTCTAGTTCAGTTCTAGTTCAGTTCTAGTTCAGTTCTAGTTCAGTTTTAGTTCAGTTCTAGTTCAGTTCTAGTTCAGTTCTAGTTCAGTTCTAGTTCAGTTCTAGTTCAGTTCTAGTTCAGTTCTAGTTCAGTTCTAGTTCAGTTCTAGTTCAGTTCTAGTTCAGTTCTAGTTCAGTTCTAGTTCAGTTCTAGTTCAGTTCTAGTTCAGTTCTAGTTCAGTTCTAGTTCAGTTCTAGTTTAGTTCTAGTTCAGTTCTAGTTCAGTTCTATTTCAGTTCTAGTTCAGTTCTAGTTCAGTTCTAGTTCAGTTCTAGTTCAGTTCTAGTTCAGTTCTAGTTCAGTTCTAGTTCAGTTCTAGTTCAGTTCTAGTTCAGTTCTAGTTCAGTTCTAGTTCAGTTCTAGTTCAGTTCTACTTCAGTTCTACTTCAGTTCTACTTCAGTTCTAGTTCAGTTCTAGTTCAGTTCTAGTTCAGTTCTAGTTCAGTTCTAGTTCAGTTCTAGTTCATTTCTAGTTCAGTTCTAGTTCAGTTCTAGTTCTGTTCTAGTTCAGTTCTAGTTCAGTTCTAGTTCAGTTCTAGTTCAGTTCTAGTTCAGTTCTAGTTCAGTTCTAGTTCAGTTCTACTTCAGTTCTAGTTCAGTTCTAGTTCAGTTCTAGTTCAGTTCTAGTTCAGTTCTAGTTCAGTTCTAGTTCAGTTCTAGTTCAGTTCTAGTTCAGTTCTAGTTCAGTTCTAGTTCAGTTCTAGTTCAGTTCTAGTTCAGTTCTAGTTCAGTTCTAGTTCAGTTCTAGTTCAGTTCTAGTTCAGTTCTAGTTCAGTTCTAGTTCAGTTCTAGTTCAGTTCTAGTTCAGTTCTAGTTCAGTTCTAGTTCAGTTCTAGTTCAGTTCTAGTTCAGTTCTAGTTCAGTTCTAGTTCAGTTCTAGTTCAGTTCTAGTTCAGTTCTAGTTCAGTTCTAGTTCAGTTCTAGTTCAGTTCTAGTTCAGTTCTAGTTCAGTTCTAGTTCAGTTCTAGTTCAGTTCTAGTTCAGTTCTAGTTCAGTTCTAGTTCAGTTCTAGTTCAGTTCTAGTTCAGTTCTAGTTCAGTTCTAGTTCAGTTCTAGTTCAGTTCTAGTTCAGTTCTAGTTCAGTTCTAGTTCAGTTCTAGTTCAGTTCTAGTTCAGTTCTAGTTCAGTTCTAGTTCAGTTCTAGTTCAGTTCTAGTTCAGTTCTAGTTCAGTTCTAGTTCAGTTCTAGTTCAGTTCTAGTTCAGTTCTAGTTCAGTTCTAGTTCAGTTCTAGTTCAGTTCTAGTTCTAGTTCAGTTCTAGTTCAGTTCTAGTTCAGTTCTAGTTCAGTTCTAGTTCAGTTCTAGTTCAGTTCTAGTCTAGTTCTGTCATTCTAGTTCAGTTCTAGTTCAGTTCTAGTTCAGTCTAGTTCAGTTCTAGTTCAGTTCTAGTTCAGTTCTAGTTCATCTAGTTCAGTTCTAGTTCAGTTCTAGTTCAGTTCTAGTTCAGTTCTAGTTCAGTTCTAGTTCAGTTGTAGTTCAGTTCTAGTTCAGTCTAGTACAGTTCTAGTTCAGTTCTAGTTCAGTTCTAGTTCAGTTCTAGTTCAGGTCTAGTTCAGTTCTAGTTCAGTTCTAGTGCAGTTCTAGTTCAGTCTAGTTCAGTTCTAGTTCAGTTCTAGTTAGTTCTCTAGTTCAGTTCTAGTTCAGTTCTATTTCAGTTCTAGTTCAGTTCTAGTTCAGTTCTAGTTAGTTCTAGTTCAGTTTCTAATTTCAGTTCTAGTTCAGTTCTAGTTCAGTTCTACGCTCAGTTCTGGTTCAGTTCTAGTTCAGTTCTAGTTCAGTTTTAGTTCAGTTTTAGTTCAGTTTTAGTTCAGTTCTAGTTCAGTTATACATAGATCATGAAATGTTTATTCCAAAATAAGCCACGGTTTGTGGAAAATCAACTCTCTATTCCTAGAAGTCTAACGAAATTTGTGAAAGTATTATTTCTATGCATGTAATGGTACTATGTATTTTGTGTACTAATGGTACAATTTGTTTCAATTGTGGTATCCCTAAAGAGATCAAGTGTAGTTTTTATTATTGTTTTCAATTCAATTAGTATTTGTTTTTGTATATTATATATTATTACTTCGTTCAATTCAATTGCGTTAGTATTTCATTTAAACATTCATTTTTTTCTCTCTATCTGGCTTTCAGTTAATGTGTCGAGTGGTGCGTGCTGTCACTTGTTATTGGTTTTATGACTTTAATATTTAAAAAATATTGAGGGTACTCACATGTTCATTAAATTAAACTCCAAATAGCAACTTTATTATGATGTTATGACAGACATATGTACATAAGTAACATTCGAATATTTAGCATATCTAACCAGATCTGGAAAAATATGTATACATTTTTTTTATTAGAAAAGCGAATATTTTTAATCTGATCAACAATTTTATGAGCTACCCTAATATTTTTTTTGAATGGAGTTATGTTGCAATTCTTTTATGTAATCTTTCATTTTTGTTTTTGTAGCGTATTATTATTGTTGTCGTAATAAAGGGTTGTGTTTATGATGTAAATTTAAGTTTATTTGTTTTGTATAAACATGTCAACTCTAGTGGCAATTTGTAAAACATTTTCATAAAGAAATAACAATAAATTAATTACAAAATATGTTACTCTACTTTCCCACATTTCCACATTAATATACATAATTTTGGAATGAGGAATTTTAAAGTCAAAATAGAAGCCAATAATATTATAATCTTTAGAGCTTCAGGAACTCTTCGCTCCGGGCTCTGTATTACTTTATAACTTCAAAAGTAATTCTCTATTCCGTTTTCTAGTTCAGTTCTAGTTCAGTTCTAGTTCAGTTCTAGTTCAGTTCTAGTTCAGTTCTAGTTCAGTTCTAGTTCAGTTCTAGTTCAGTTCTAGTTCAGTTCTAGTTCAATTCTAGTTCAGTTCTAGTTCAGTTCTAGTTCAGTTCTAGCTCAGTTCTAGTTCAGTTCTAGTTCAGTTCTAGTTCAGTTCTAGTTCAGTTCTAGTTCAGTTCTAGTTCAGTTCTAGTTCAATTCTAGTTCAGTTCTAGTTCAGTTCTAGTTCAGTTCTAGTTCGGTTCTAGTTCAGTTCTAGTTCAGTTCTAGTTCAGTTCTAGTTCAGTTCTAGTTCAGTTCTAGTTCAGTTCTAGTTCAGTTCTAGTTCAGTTCTAGTTCAGTTCTAGTTCAGTTCTAGTTCAGTTCTAGTTCAGTTCTAGTTCAGTTCTAGTTCAGTTCTAGTTCAGTTCTAGTTCAGTTCTAGTTCGGTTCTAGTTCAATTCTAGTTCATTCTAGTTCAGTTCTAGTTCAGTTCTAGTTCAGTTCAAGTTCTAGTTCAGTTCAAGTTCTAGTTCAGTTCAAGTTCTAGTTCAGTTCAAGTTCTAGTTCAGTTCTAGTTCAGTTCTAGTTCAGTTCTAGTTCAGTTCTAGTTCAGTTCTAGTTCAGTTCTAGTTCAGTTCTAGTTCAGTTCTAGTTCAGTTCTAGTTCAGTTCTAGTTCAGTTCTAGTTCAGTTCTAGTTCAGTTCTAGTTCAGTTCTAGTTCAGTTCTAGTTCAGTTCTAGTTCAGTTCTAGTTCAGTTCTAGTTCAGTTCTAGTTCAGTTCTAGTTCAGTTCTAGTTCAGTTCTAGTTCAGTTCTAGTTCAGTTCTAGTTCAGTTCTAGTTCAGTTCTAGTTCAGTTCTAGTTCAGTTCTAGTTCAGTTCTAGTTCAGTTCTAGTTCAGTTCTAGTTCAGTTCTAGTTCAGTTCTAGTTCAGTTCTAGTCAGTTCTAGTTCAGTTCTAGTTCAGTTCTAGTTCAGTTCTAGTAGTTCTAGTTCAGTTCTAGTTCAGTTCTAGTTCTAGTTCAGTTCTAGTTCAGTTCTAGTTCAGTTCTAGTTCTAGTTCAGTTCTAGTTCAGTTCTAGTTCAGTTCTAGTTCAGTTCTAGTTCTAGTTCAGTTCTAGTTCTAGTTCAGTTCTAGTTCAGTTCTAGTTCAGTTCTAGTTCAGTTTAGGGTTTCAACAAATATTTATGTTTTTACAATGTATCTAGTATCCGCTGTTTATGTTGCTTATTTGAAATTTCATATTAAAAATTATAATCTTTTTAAGAAAACAATATTTTTGATTTTTTTAGCACAACCATCTTTAAACTTAGAAAACAACCGAGAAAAACCTACATTATCGAACTATTTTTAGAACAAAATAATTTTAATTCCTAAAAAACCAACAAACTAATCCAAGATTCCAGTGCCACAAACGAACAATAATTTAAGATTTTATTAAAAAAACAAAAAGCAAATAAATTTTGTAACTATATTTCTTAGTCTAACAAATGCATATTTTATATATTGAATTAATTTTTTAAGTTAGTTAATAATTATTGTGATAATTTTAAAATAATAAAATAAAAATTTAATAAAAATGTACTTTATTAAATATATATAAAAAACGGAAATTAGGAAAAAGCTTTTAAATACATATAATGAAAAAACTTGGAATTTATGAAAAGTTTTAATTTTCCATAACTTTAAAGCTTTGAAAACTTTTTTGGAATTTTCGTTTAATAATTTCTTAAATTTCACTTTTAGTTGATCACGAACTCTTTAAGAGAACTGTTGTTTATATAGAAAACGGAAAATTTAGTGTTCAAATTTAATAAACGAGAAACAACACGTTCACAATTGTTGTTAGTGTGCCACACACAACAAAATTAAAAATAGATTTCAATATTTTTTGAGACACATTAAAAGAAAAAATATGTTTTTATAAAAAAGAAAACAAACAAAAGTTTTCCAATTTAAAAATGCATTTAAGAAATTTAAATATTTTGCTTTTAATTTTATTACTTGTAATACAACCTATAAAATGTTACGAATCTAGAGATAATTTTGATATTTCACCGGTTGAACCTAATTATCATATACCTATAGGTAAGTTTTTTATTACTTAGTATTTATTTAACTGTTTTCATACAGGTTTTTAATCCTTATAGGTCTCATTACTGATGTTAATTCCGAAATGTTAAGGCAAACTTTTGATTATGCTATATCGGTTATAAATTCTGACTTGAGTGTTCCATTAATGGGTTATCAGGAAGAAATCGATTATGGCAATACTTTGCAGGGTTTCAATCGTTTGTGTAAATTAATGCAGGTGATTAAAATGTTTATTGTTTTGAAACGATTTCTTTAAAATAAATATTTTTATTATCTTTTAAAGACTGGTGTGGGGGCCGTGTTTGGACCCACTGCCAAACATACGGGAACACATCTTATGAACGTCTGCGATAGTAAAGATCTACCCTATGTCTACTCACATATGAGTGATGCTATAGAAGGTTTTAATCTCCATCCACATCCATTGGATATTGCCAAAGCTTTAAATGCCATAATTACGGAATTTGAATGGACTCGTTTTATATTTCTCTATGAAAATTCGGAATATTTGAGTATTTTAAATGGTTTAATGTCATTTTATGGTACTAAGGGACCCATAATATCGGTAATGCGTTATGATTTAAATTTGAACGGTAATTTTAAATCGGTTTTGAGAAGAGTACGCAAATCGGTGGATAGTAGAATTGTGGTAGTGGGTTCTACGACCTCGGTGGCGGAATTATTGAAACAGGTAACAGTTTGATTTAATATTTGAATAAACATTTCCTTTATAATGATTTGATAATGTAGTTTATACCAGATTTTTTCTTATTAAAACTCTTTACTTTCTTTAGGCCCAACAAGTTGGCATTATTAATGAGGATTATAAATACATTATTGGTAACTTAGATTTTCATACCTTTGATCTGGAAGAATACAAGTACAGTGAAGCAAATATTACCGGTTTTCGTTTGTTCTCGGCCGAACAACCCGAGGTACAAAATCTTATGCTAGAATTGGGTTTTATAGATGAAATCGAAGAGAATGAAATGATAACAAATGGTAAGGCACAAACAAATATCATTATGAATTAGTGCTAAATTTATAGTTGAAAAATTCTTAAGGTTCCTGTCCCATTACCACCGAAATGGCTTTAATATATGATGCAGTTATAGCATTTGCCGAGACCACAAAACATATACATTACATGCCTCAAGCTTTAAATTGTTCCGCCTTTTCGGACAATGTTCAGGAAGATGGTTCTACGTTTAAGAATTACATGAGATCGGTAAGTTGATCAGTTGTCAATTTTTAAGGATTCAAAATTACAGTAAGAATGTTTGAAATCGGAACAAACTTTTTATTTAATTTAAATACCCGAGGAGCCCTAAATCGGAGGTTCTAACACATCTCTCAGTTTATTATATGAATAATCAATTCTTGATTTCTTCTCTCCCTTAAAGCTCTTAATCGACAAAAATACCTTAACCGGTCGCATATTTTTCGAGGGTACTGTCCGCAAAGGTTTTACGCTGGATGTAATAGAGCTGCAATCAACGGGCCTGGTTAAGGTGGGAACATGGGAGGATAATAAAAATTTCACTTTTCAAAGACCTCCCCAGGTTAAGATCATTTTGGATACAGATGATAATTCCATGGTTAATAAGACTTTTCGCGTGTTAATAGCAGTTCCGGTAAAGTTTGTTCAAAAAGTAATACCCTTAAATTCCATATAAAATGAAAGATTTCTTTAAAACAGAATAAACCATATGCCAGTTTGGTGGACAGTCATAAAAAGTTAGATGGTAATGCTCAATATGAGGGTTATAGCATAGATCTAATTAAGGAATTGGCTGATAAATTAGGTTTTAATTTTACCTTCATTAACGGCGGCAACGATTATGGTTCCTTTAATAAGACCACTAATGTAACAACGGGCATGTTAAAGGAAATTGTGGAAGGGGTAAGTAAGAGTAGAAACCTTGTAGCCCGAAATTTAGAAGTAATTTCTTTTTAATTTTTAGCGTGCCGATTTAGCTATAACCGATTTGACTATAACCTCGGAAAGAGAAGAAGTCATTGATTTTTCTATACCTTTTATGAATTTGGGTAAATTTTTTATTACTTTAACTTAAGGAATCTTAAAATTTTACACTTTTTCTTTTTATTTCTAAGGTATCGCTATATTATATCTGAAACCTCAAAAGGGTGAACCCACTACTTTTTCCTTCATGGACCCCTTTTCAAAACAAGTTTGGAAATATTTAGGTATTGCTTATTTGGGGGTTTCCATATGCTTTTTCATATTGGGTAGACTCTCGCCCACCGAATGGGATAATCCCTATCCTTGTATAGAAGAACCGGAAGAATTGGAAAATCAATTTACCATAAATAATTCTTTGTGGTTTACAACGGGCGCTTTTCTGCAGCAGGGTTCGGAAATAGCACCAAAGTAAGTTGATAGTTTGCTAAATCAAAAATTAATATAATTCTAAACACCTACTTTAAAATTTCAGAGCTTTGTCAACCCGTACTGTAGCCGCTATTTGGTGTTTCTTCACACTCATTATGGTGTCATCTTATACCGCTAATTTAGCTGCCTTTTTGACAATTGAAAACCCCACCAAGGTTTTAGAAAATGTTAAAGATTTGGCCGATAATAAGGGTGGTGTACAATATGGAGCGAAGCGTACTGGTTCCACTAGAAATTTCTTTTTAGTAAGTTTACCATAACTATAAACGATAAAAGAATCTAAATTATTGATTTCGATTTATACGAACAGACCTCCGAGGAAGAAATCTATAAGAAAATGAATGAATATATGCTGGAAAATCCTCACTTATTGACCGAAACAAATTTAGAGGGTGTACAACGTGTGGTTAACAGTGATGTGGCCAGTGGTTCTACTTATGCTTTCCTAATGGAATCCACTTCCATTGAATATAATATCGTGAGAGAGTGTATGCTGCAAAAGGTAGGAGAACCTTTGGATGAGAAAGGTTATGGTATTGCTATGGTGAAAAGTAAGTAGAAAAGATTTGGTTATTATAAAGTTTATGAATATATGGTTAATTATTTTCCTTCAGATTGGCCATATCGTGATAAATTTAATAATGCTTTATTGGAACTACAGGAACAGGGTGTTTTAGCACAATTAAAACAAAAATGGTGGAATGAAGTGGGTGCTGGGGTGTGTAATGTAAGTAGAGAGAAATTTCATATTTTAAGCTGATCTTGAAAGAGGCTTTTATTTCCTTGAAAGTTTCCAAAATTAAATTATTTTATCAGGCATGGACCGTTCAGTACTATTGTACTTTTTTCGGTACTTTTTGACATCGAAAAATCTCCCCTATGGACTAGCCTATGGACTAGTTTATTGACTAGCTTATGAACTAGTCTGGACTAGTCTTTTGACTAGTCTATTAGCATGATTATGGACTAGTCTATTGACTAACGTCTGGGTTAATCTATTGAATAGCCTATGGACTTCGCTATTGTCTAGTTTGTTTGACATCGAAAAAACTACCCTATGAACTCTTCTATTGACTAATCGATTGACTAGATTATGGACTGGTCTATTGACTAGCCTATGGACTAATCTATTGACTACCCTAGAGGTAAGTCCATTCAGTAGCTTATGGACTAGTTCAATGTCTTGCCTATGAACTAAACTATTGATTAATCTATTGAATAGCCTATGGTTTAGTCTATTGACTACCCAAGGGACTGGTCCATTCACCAGCATATTGAGTGGTTTATTGGCTAGCCTGCAGACTAGAGAATAGGTTAGCCTATTGGCTAGTATGTATGTACATTGAATAGCCCATGGACTAGTCCATTCACTAACCTATAAGCTAGAAAAACCTCCAAAAGTAAAGAAATTTTCTATGAGAAAACAGGCAATAACTTCTCTTAATATTAAAAATTTTAATTCCTGTTTTTATTTCAGGCCAAAAATGATGGTGGCATGGTTAGTGCTTTGGATTTTGCTAATTTGGAAGGTATCTACTACGTTCTAATTGTAGGCAGTACCATATCTATGTGTTATGGTATTATTCTATGGTGTTTTAATGTCAATAAAAAGGCTCGTTACTATGATGTAAGTATTTTGAAACAAAGTTCCATATTCGATTCTTCCGAAAAATTTATAACAAATTTTTAAACTACCAATTTAAATATTATTAGGTTCCCTTCCGCGATGCCCTAACTGAAGAATTTAAAGTGTTGATTGATTTTACCAATAATGTGCGAATGTTGAAAAGTGCTCATTCTGTATATTCGCGAAGTCGTCACTCATCTTTGGATTCTTTTGAAACGGATTCCGGTGAAGAAAGTGAAGATGCAAGTATGGAAGAAGATAGTGAAGAAAATTAAAACATTTGAAAGAAAAACTTTTAATTTAATAAATTGTATTTAATATTTAAAATTTACTAAAGAAAAACTATAATAAAAATAACTTAAAAATAAAAGCTTTCTGTCTCCCAAAAATATGTTTCTCTTTTGACCAAATTTTATATATAAACATGGAATTTAAAAAGAAAAGAACTTTTTTTATAAAATATCTCTAATGCTAAAAATACTGGAAATATTTTTAAAAGTTTAGTAGCACATCTCTCTTTAAAGCGTTCACACATAACGGCAAAATACACAAAAATATATTTTTAAAAAATTTTAAAAACAAAATTATTGAAAACAACAAATAATTTTCTAGAAAACAAGAAAAGAAAATGTATAAATTAAGATAATTTTAAAGAAAATCGAAACTAGTGCGAAAAGAAAAATGTTTTGTAAAAATGTATATTTGTTATTTTCGATAATTTTAACAATTTTTAAAACAACATCTGCTCAATATGGTTATTCCCATTACGATGATGTTCCTTCGTCATCAGCAGACATTATTACAATAGGTAAGGTAAAATATTTGAATATATATGTATGTATGTACAGCTATAGATATATACATTTATATATAAAATACCCCCTGAGTGTATCTGTCTGTCGCGTGTCTACCTATCTATGGGATATACTAGTTAAAGATTGTTGTATCTTGATGTTTTTCTTCTATTTTTAAACAAATTATTGTTTGTGTAAATTTTCATTAAGTATATTGAAATAGTACGTTGAAAGATCTATTTAGTGGATTTTGAAAATATACAAAAAAAAAAAAAACGTGAGGTTGTTTGTGTTTACTGTGTGTCCATGTCTGTCCATTTTCATAAACAAATAATAAATGGAAATATTAATTCATTCATAGAAAATATAAATACATTAATGTATTAAGGAGACTGATTAATGAGTGTAAAAATTTTGAATACAATATCGAAATCAGTAAGATATTCAAATGATAAACAGGTCGATGATGAAAACATAAAATTTTTGGAATCGGAAAATGAAAATAAAACAGTCGCATCACCCACCAGTTCTCTACATTTTCATCTTTGAGCCCTCGGGAACGTATACATATTTCTGTTAATGTTATGTATTATTGTGTATGTTGCAGTCAAGTTGGAGAATATCTTTGGAACCGAAGTTCCAAATTTTCATCTTTCAGTCCTCGGGACATACTTCTTTTAATGTTATAGAGCCAATTATGAGCGTTTCTGAATGGACACAAAGATTTATTGATAAGATACTTCTGATAAATAGTGACGCGAACGCAGCATAATTAAAATACTTATAAGAGTTTAGGCGAAATTCTGGTAGGATATCTACTACATGGAGGCTATGTAAAATCATGGACTGTCTCAGAATGTGAGTAAGAGTCCTAAGATATTCTTTAAGATTAGTAAAAGCCTAATAGGGAAAATTCGCAAGAAAATGTTGAAAGAAAATTCCTAATATCGATCACAAGTTTTATGGTTTAGACATCTCGTTTCAGTATTAATATTTTTAAATTCTTTGATGTACAATTGGTACTATACCTAGCGGACGAACAATATTGTTATTTAATTTCCCTATATGGTCTATTATTTCAGGCATATTAACTTAATAATTGTCCATATCACAATCGTCGTCGTAGCGTTGTATGTCATATTATAAACATGTGTTGTTGTTGTAGCAGCGACACGTGTAAAGTCTAAATAAAGAAATCTTTTAGACGGACTATCTGCAGCTTTAAGTAATTTCATTATTCCGCACCCAATCATGTCCAGAAATCCATATTAAGACTGAGCACGCAAATAATAATAATAATTACCATTGAGGAATTAAATCTCCCTCAAAATCATTTTATCAACTTAATTTCAACCTTTTAAGGGGACCAAGAGAAAATTATCATGCCAATTTCCACTGATAAAGTTTAGTCCCGAAGAAAAGTTTTTTTCGGTATTCTGGTCATTGAAGTCTTAAGCCTAGACCGATGTAAATACTAACAAAAATTAATTCACTAAAGATGTCAATTGATGTCTGAACTGGTTTATGAAGCCAGTAATAATAAGAATGTTTTCTTATTATTGAAATGGTTGGATTCTTAATCAGGGATTGGATCTATTTGTTATTTATATAAGAAATACTGGTATAACCAAAACAATAACTACTTTATGTTTAGGAAATACGCCTAGACCAACTATTGGGCCTATTGTGTGTTGTTTTACCAAATTATATAGATCATTATTCAAATGGATAGTGTTTTTCCAATTTTCAAAAACATTCAGGTTATATTGTTCCCATTTGCTTTAAAGGGTTAAATCTGCTCTTTTTATAAACTCCAGTATTTTTTATTACACATGGCCGACAAATAAATAATATTACGATACGCTTCACTGAGATTTCTCAAAAATTGCAAAATTTGACTTTCGACCATCACAGTTTATAGTTTATATTATCTGGACCAAAATACTCTGAAAATACTTTATACTTTATAACGTTTTAACATTTTACAGGTTTACTAACCGATCAGCAACATGAAGAAATGAACGTAGTAGTGGATTTTGCCATTGAAAATGCCAATATGGAATTAGAAAGTGCATTAGCTGTAATCAGAGATCAAGTTCCATATGGAAATTCATTTTTGGGCTACGGTAAACTATGCCGCATGATGGAGGTAAAGTTTTTAGTTTATAACTCTAGCATTAAAAAAATGTTCCTAACCTAACACTTATAGACTGGTATTGCTGCCGTTTTGGGTCCTTCCTCCAAACATACCGCCTTCCATTTAATGTCGATATGTGATGCCAAGGATATACCATATTTTTATTCCTTTATGGGTGATGCAGAAGCTGAAGCCTTTAATTTATATCCCCATCAAGATGATTTGTCAAAAGCCCTATATTCACTGTTAACAGAATTCGAATGGTCACGTTTTATATTCCTATATGAATCGTCTGAATATTTGAATATTTTAAATGGATTAATGGCTCAATTCGGTACAAATAGTCCGGTGATAACGGTGTTGCGTTATGATTTGAATTTAAACGGTAATTATAAGACGGTATTGAGAAAAGTGCGCAAATCGGTGGATAATCGTATAGTGGTAGTGGGTTCTACGGAAACTATGCCGGAATTTTTAAAGCAGGTGGGTTGAAAATAATAAATTTGTTCTAAAAAATTCTTTAATTTCTTATAACTTTTATGGATCATTTACAGGCCCAACAAGTGGGCATTATTAATGAGGACTACAAGTATATAATAGCAAATTTAGATTTTCATTCATTCGATTTGGAAGAATTTAAATATAGCGAAGCCAATATTACAAGTTTAAGAATGTTTTCGCCTGAGAATGCCTTAGTCAGGGAACTAATGGAAAAATTGGGTCATTCTTTTGTCACCGAGGGATTTCAGAATGGTAAGTTGGTGAGATAATAATATAAACTCAATTTATTTCTAAAAAAACTTAAGGGTCTTGTCCCATTACCATGGAAATGGCTTTAACCTATGATGCCATACAACTTTTTGCCGAAACTACCAAGCATATACCGCTCAAACCGACACCTTTAAATTGCACCGATCGTAGTGATAGTGTTAGGGATGATGGTTCTACGTTTAAAAATTATATGAGATCGGTAATTGGATAAAAGGATTTTATATTTATTTCTTAATAAAATGTACCATTAAATTTATAAATTCGCAGCTCAATATACATGAGAATACCTTAACGGGACGCATTTATTTCGAGGGTAATGTTAGAAAGGGATTTTCATTTGATGTCATCGAATTACAGCCCTCGGGTATTGTTCAGGTTGGCACCTGGGATGAGACAAATAACTATACTTGTCAACGTTTGGCTCCCACAAATGCTATATTCGAAAACGTGGACAATTCTTTGGCCAATAAAACGTTTATTATATTACTATCAGTTCCAGTAAGTTAAAGTGGGATTCTTTCAAAAATCCCTTTAATAATTCTGGATATTTTTTTCTTTCAGAATAAACCTTATGCCAGTTTAGTGGAAAGTCACAAAAAATTGGAAGGCAATAGCCAGTATGAAGGTTATAGTGTAGATTTGATTAAGGAGTTGTCTGGAAAATTGGGTTTCAATTATACTTTTGTTAATGGTGGTAACGATTATGGTACTTTCAATAAAACTTCTAATGTGTCAACGGGCATGTTAAAGGAAATTATGGAAGGGGTAAGTTAGGGTTTAATTATTATTTAACTGTTTTTTAAGTGTTTAATTTCAGCGAGCCGATTTAGCTATAACCGATTTGACCATTACCTCGGAAAGAGAAGAGGCAATTGATTTTACTATACCGTTTATGTTGGGGTAAGTATTGCTAAATGTAATTCGCACATTCATATAATTGGCTTATCTATTTGCAATCGATCTATCGATCGATCTATCTAGCATCTATCGATCTATTAGCGAGCGAGCGAGCGAGCGAGCGAGCGAGCGAGCGAGCGAGGAGCGAGCGAGCGAGCGAGCGAGCGAGCGAGAGAGCGAGCGAGCGAGCGAGCGAGCGAGCGAGGAGCGAGCGAGCGAGCGAGCGAGCGAGCGAGGAGCGAGCGAGCGAGCGAGCGAGCGACGAGCGAGCGAGCGAGCGAGCGAGCGAGCGAGCGAGAGCGAGCGAGCGAGCGAGCGAGCGAGCGAGCGAGCGAGCGAGCGAGCGAGCGAGCGAGGAGCGAGCGAGAGAGCGAGCGAGAGAGCGAGAGAGCGAGCGAGAGAGCGAGCGAGCGAGCGAGCGAGCGAGCGAGCGAGAGAGCGAGCGAGCGAGAGCGAGAGCGAGCGAGCGAGCGAGCGAGCGAGCGAGCGAGCGAGCGAGCGAGCGAGCGAGCGAGCGAGCGAGCGAGCGAGCGAGCGAGCGAGCGAGCGAGGAGCGAGCGAGCGAGCGAGCGAGCGAGCGAGCGAGCGAGCGAGCGAGCGAGCGAGAGCGAGCGAGCGAGCGAGCGAGCGAGCGAGCGAGGAGCGAGCGAGCGAGCGAGCGAGCGAGCGAGCGAGCGAGCGAGCGAGCGAGCGAGCGAGCGAGCGAGCGAGCGAGCGAGCGAGCGAGCGAGCGCGAGCGAGCGAGCAGCGAGCGAGCGAGCGAGCGAGCGAGCGAGCGAGCGAGCGAGCGAGCGAGCGAGCGAGCGAGCGAGCGAGCGAGCGAGCGAGCGAGCGAGCGAGCGAGCGAGCGAGAGCGAGCGAGCGAGCGAGCGAGCGAGCGAGCGAGCGAGCGAGCGAGCGAGCGAGAGAGCGAGCGAGCGAGCGAGCAGGAGCGAGCGAGCGAGCGAGCGAGCGAGCGAGCGAGCGAGGAGCGAGCGAGCGAGCGAGCGAGAGAGCGAGCGAGCGAGCGAGCGAGCGAGCGAGCGAGCGAGCGAGCGAGCGAGCGAGCGAGCGAGCGAGCGAGCGAGCGAGCGAGCGAGCGAGCGAGCGAGCGAGCGAGCGAGCGAGCGAGCGAGCGAGCGAGCGAGCGAGCGAGCGAGCGAGAGAGCGAGCGAGCGAGCGAGCGAGCGAGCGAGCGAGCGAGCGAGCGAGCGAGAGAGAGAGCGAGCGAGCGAGCGAGCGAGCGAGCGAGAGCGAGCGAGCGAGCGAGCGAGCGAGCGAGCGAGCGAGCGAGCGAGCGAGCGAGCAGCGAGCGAGCGAGCGAGCGAGCGAGCGAGCGAGCGAGCGAGCGAGCGAGCGAGCGAGCGAGAGCGAGCGAGGAGCGAGCGAGCGAGCGAGAGCGAGCGAGCGAGCGAGCGAGCGAGCGAGCGAGCGAGCGAGCGAGCGAGCGAGCGAGCGAGCGAGCGAGAGCGAGCGAGCGAGCGAGCGAGCGAGCGAGCGAGCGAGCGAGCGAGCGAGCGAGCGAGCGAGCGAGCGAGCGAGCGAGCGCGAGCGAGCGAGCGAGCGAGCGAGCGAGGAGCGAGCGAGCGAGCGAGCGAGCGAGCGAGCGAGCGAGAGAGAGAGCGAGAGCGAGCGAGAGAGCGAGCGAGCGAGCGAGCGAGAGCGAGCGAGCGAGCGAGCGAGCGAGCGAGCGAGCGAGCGAGCGAGCGAGCGAGCGAGCGAGCGAGCGAGCGAGCGAGCGAGCGAGCGAGCGAGCGAGCGAGCGAGGCGAGCGAGCGAGCGAGCGAGCGAGCGAGCGAGCGAGCGAGCGAGCGAGCTATCGAGAGAGCAAGCGAGCAATATCGAGAGGATCTAGCGAGCGAGACTAGCGCGAGCGAGTATCTATCTAGCGAGCGAGCGAGCTAGTGCTAGCACAGGAGCGAGGAGCTATCTAGCATCGATCTACAGCTATCAATCTATCAGAATACAGCATACTAGATATATCTATATATCTATCTATCTATCTATCTATCTATTATCTATCTATCTATCTACTATCTATCTATCTATCTATCTATCTATTTATCTATCTATCTATCTATCTATCTATCTTCTAATCTATCTAGATATCTAATCCTATCGTCTATCTATCTATATATCTATCTATATATCTATCTACATTTCCAATTTAAATTAAACAAATTTCTTACCATTTCCATTACAGGTATTGCCAATCTTGTTTTTAAAACCCCAGAAAGCAGCACCAGATACATTTTCCTTCATGGACCCTTTCAATAAAGATGTATGGGAATATTTGGGTTTGGCCTTTATTGGAGTATCGCTATCATTTTATATACTAGGACGTTTATCGCCGACAGAATGGGATAATCCTTATCCATGTATAGAAGAGCCCACAGAACTGGAAAATCAATTTACTTTAAGTAATTCTCTATGGTTTACAACCGGAGCTTTACTGCAGCAGGGTTCCGAAATAGCACCTAAGTAATAAAAATTATTTTGTAAAATACGAAAGCTTTCATAAAAATAAAACTTTTACCTTATAGAGCTCTATCGGTAAGAACTATGGCTTCCATATGGTGGTTTTTCACCTTAATTATGGTCTCATCCTATACAGCCAATTTGGCGGCCTTTTTAACTGTTGAAACTCCCAAAGTGTTAATTGAAAACGTAGATGATTTGGCGGAAAATAAGGAAGGAGTAGTGTATGGTGCTAAACGTACTGGTTCCACTAGAAATTTCTTTTTGGTAATATTTTAATAAAAGCTAATAAAAATAAATATTTTGTATTTGTTTTCTCTCTGTTTATTTAGACTTCTGCCGATCCCCGTTATAAAAAAATGAATTTATTTATGGAAAAACATCCCGAGCTGTTGACCGAAAACAATCAGGAGGGTGTACAACGTGTTATAGATGCCAAAGATTCTGAACCCAAATATGCGTTTCTAATGGAATCGACATCTATTGAATATAATACCGTTAGAGAATGTTCTTTAAAGAAAATCGGTGATGCTTTGGATGAGAAGGGCTATGGCATAGCAATGAGAAAAAGTAAGTTTTATTTTTTACAAGGTAAATATGAATATTATTTTAATTTATATTCTTTTTTTGTTGTAGACTGGGCATATCGAGATAAATTTAATAATGCTTTATTGGAACTTCAAGAACAAGGTGTTTTAGCTAAAATGAAAAATAAATGGTGGAATGAAGTGGGTGCTGGTATATGTGCGGTAAGTTTGTAGAATTCAATAATTTATAGCCATATTTCGGAAATTATTCAACTTCGAATCGGAGAAATTGTTTATACTTCCCTGCAGATGTTTTCGAAAGTTACTTTTTAATAGGCAATATTTTAATTATTCTTCTTAAAAACAATTATCTAACTTACAGTCGAAAAAAGAACAAAGTGATGCCAATTCTTTGAATATGAAAAATCTGGAAGGTATTTATGTGGTATTGGTTTTTGGCAGTGGTATGGCTTTAATACACGGCATAATAAGTTGGATTTGTTTTGTTATACACAAGGCTCGTAGTCACAAGGTAAATTATACAAACATGTCCATAATAAACATAAAAAGTAATAATAATATGAGTAATAACTAATAAATATTCCTTAACATTCTACAGGTACCGTTAAAAGCCGCCTTTATTGAAGAATTTAAATTTGTTATGGAATTTACCACCTATACCAGGGAATTGAAAAACTCTGCTTCGATTTATTCACGCAGTCGTAATTCATCCATAAATATAGAATCTTTAGATAATGTTTTAAATGCTATAGATAATTAATAATTAGAATTGAAGATTATTTTATGAATTTTACAAAATAAGCTTTTAAAAAGTTAAAAGTTTGTTTTGTTTGTTTTTTTATTATTAATATTATTTAAAATACATAGAATGGAATGTTAACAAAATACAATTTGAGAAATCATTATTACATATATGTATAAGTTAAATAATTATATAATTATATAAATAATAAATTGTATTAAATAAAAAAAAAAAAAATACTTAATGTAAAAGAAATTAATAAATAATACTGCTAAAATATTAATGAATTAATTAAAAAAAAAAACATATATTAAATATAAATATCATTAAATAGAATACTAGGAAAGTTACTCTTATGATATTATTCGAAAGTTAATTTTTTGAAAATCTAATCGTTAAAAAAAATCTTTCCAAATAAAGAAAAGTTTAAAATTCCAGAAATTCTTAAATTTGTCCTTTATAAAATTATATAAAATCAAAACAGTTACAAACTGTAAATTGTCAAATACAATAATTTAATGGTTTGTTAATGATTAAAAACATTTTGAATCACTTTTGTATAGAAAGCAATTCATATAAAAACGCAAATTTTTGTATTGTGACGTTTTCTTTTAAGGGGAAAAAGCCTAGTCTGTGGACTATTCTATGGACAATTCAATGGCCTAGTCTATTGAGAACAGCCTATACACTAATCTATAAACTAGACTATGAACTAGTCTACGAACTAGTTTAAAGTCTATTCTATTGATTAGCCTATCTATGGTCTATTATATTGAGTTGTGAATAAAACTACCTATTGACTTGTCTATGGACAAATCTCAGAACTAGTTTATGAACTAGTCTATAGACTGGCTCATGATCTATTCTATTGATTAGCATATGGACTAATCTATGAACTAGTCTATGGACCAGTGCATCGACTATTATATAAACTAGTCTATGGACTAATCTATTATCTAGTACGCAAACTAGTCTATGGACTAATCAATTGACCATTCTATAGTCTAGTCTACAGGTCATTATTATATTGATAATTATCAGAATTATTTCAAAAGTTCTTGATAGGGAAAAAAAAAGTCTACTTGTAATATGTTGTTAGCGTTTTTTAGTACTACTAAATGTCATAAAGTACTGAAAACATACGATAGTACTGAATATTCCATCCATGATAATTGCCCTCAATAAAAGGATTGAAAATAAAAATTTTGAAAATAAGAAACAGGAACTCTTGTCCCCAGTTATAAAGCCAGTCTTAGTTTACAAAATACTTAAAGAAATTGTTTAAAATAAAATAGAAAAATAAGAGAGTTTGTTTACATGTAAATGAGTATCAATGAGTTACACGAAGTTATTAGAATGTAGGAAAGAGAGATTGGTGCATAATATTAGTTGTAGTGCTTGAGTGTTTTAAAAACATCTTATTATTAAAATTTATGATTTAAATTGTTGGCCATTTTTCTTCCTCATAAGCCAAAATTTATGTCCAATTTTTAGCCTTCCACAATAAAACATGTATATGATTATCAACATCCTGTGGTTGATTTTTATATTGATTTTTCAAATGTTCAAAGGCGTGTGTGGGTGTAGAAATGTGTTTTGTAGTCAATGACTCCACCGTATCCATATAACGGGATATTAACGAACGATAACGTCTACCAATGGTTGCTATGAGAGGTACATTTTGATTTGGTACGGCTATAATGGTTTTGATCTGTAAGAAGAACATAAAAATAAGGATTATATACCCATTTATAGGTAAAATTAAACTTACTTCATTTTCATAAGGACGAAAAACGGTAATTGGTCTTAAAGTATTGACTTCAGCTATGATTAGGCAACCCCAGGTGGTGCCAATGTACAATTCCTTGCCATGTGTACAGAGAGCAGAAATTTGACATTTTATTAGACTTAAATGTTCATCTATAGCAATGCTTTTTAATGATTCGGAACAGGGCAAGAGTTTGGAACAATCTAATTTATTTTCAATTTGTTTATTAACCGCATGCCATTGATAAACCATAAAACCAGGATACAGGCAAGTGAAAACATATGTTTCATTACTGCACATCCTGGCCACCTTTAAATCTTCTATAGCATTCGGTTCATCACTGTGACACAAAGCCTGATGACCACAGACACCAGTTTTACTAAGAGGAAAAACATTCAGTTTGCCAGCCATTTCGCCACACCACAATTCATAAGTTCTAAATACATAGACACGACAGAGTATAAATAATTTAAGATACAAATTTATTTTCCCAACTCACCCCTCTATCATAACCGCACACGAACAATGCAATATTAAACCCGAACAAATTTCGGTCAAAACAAACGAACCCTCTGCAAATGCACAGTTAGAGGGCACCTTCGATGAATCTACCAAAAACACTCGACCATTGTGTAGACCCACAGCAACACGTTGTATATCGCGCAAATATACTAGTGTTATTAGCGGTGATTTAATGGCTGGATCCAATATATATGAAAATATATGACTATAATCGGCCAGACTATAGGAGTGTAGAGTACCGGAAGCATCACCCATCCATATGCATTGTTCAATAATGCAACAGCAGAGCATATTAATTTTTGGCAAACGTGTAGCGGAGGGGGTACGCGAAGATGAACCCGTTGAGCCGGCTTGTAGAGTGGAAGGAGTATTTATGGGTGACGATGAGGAAGATTTATGATTGACCTCTTCGACACGAGGAGATTTTTGATCTTGGGGTGAAAATTTATTTGTGCATTTGATACTACTCGATTGTAGAAATTGACCTTGTAGCGTTGTATCTAAGATATCTATGTGTGAGTTGTAAGCGGGTAACCATAATTCAAGGCCGGTCGTATCATCTGGAAGAGGGGTTACATATTCTCAATGGAAACTTTATTTTTCACACAAATTTTACACAATATTTTATATTTACTTTTTACATAAACATCTCTTTTAAGCAAAGAAAGCTTGATGTAAGAATTGTTAAACAGAAAACCCAAAAACTTACCTTCAATATTATTTGTGTGACTATAGCTAAAAGCTCCACACACAACTTTATCATTGAACGGCAAAGCTATAACATCCAAAAGATGTATACATTCCGGAGCAGTAAGTATGGATACAATTTGGCTGGCAGTTGGTCGCTTTTTAGGCAGTTCGTCCCAACACAAAACCATTAGATCTAAACAATATGTAGGAAATTGTGTTTCTCTTTGTGTCAAAGCTGGTCTACTACCCTCCAAAATACATTCCTTAATAGATTCATGACCTTCAAAAGGTTGACGTAAACTAATATTCTCATAGATAAACATGCCAAATGAAAAGCAATCAACCTTTAAAATGTGGAATTTTAGTATTTTCTACTAGATCATTACTTTAATTATAATAATACCTTTTCTGTGTATTCCTCTTCACCATTATAACGTATAATTTCGGGAGCCATAAAACCTTCTGTGCCACCAAATCCTTTAGAGCCACTGGGAGCCGTTTGACGACTTATACCATAGTCAGCAATTTTAATATGAACACTATTACGAGGACTGTCCTCGCTATAAAGAAATAAATTTTTTCAAATATTTAATAAATTACCATAAATTATTGAAATAAGCAAAAAAAAACTTACGCGTGTGGCTGGGGAAAATCCCAAACTAAAACATTTTCCGATTTCAAGTCCCGGTAAATAATGCGACGACGATGTAAATATTCAATAGCACGAGCTGCTTGCAAAACCAATATTTGGAATGTATGAGGTCCTATGTGAGCACCACTGCGCCGATGTTGTCTTAAGATAGAATCCAAACCACCCATAGGAGCTAATTCCAAGACCAAAGCCAAAGGTTTTATGCAAATACCCACCAGCGGCACTATATTTGGATGTTTAAGAGTTAACAGTACAGCCAACTCTTGTCGGGCAGTACAATAAGCTTTGCAAGCATGCTGTAAAGGATCACGATCCCATTTCCCCAAAGCCACTTTATAAGCCATTAATGCACTCTCTTTGGCTCTAGGACCAGGTGGCACAGGTTGCAGCATTTTCATGGCTACCGCTCTAAAAGAACGAGAATTTTTAATTTTACAAGTAGCTTTAAAAACAAAACCAAATGCTCCTCGTCCCAAGAGGGAACCCTTAATAATGCTTTCCGAATTAATGGTATACTTGTCTGGTATATCGGCGAATACAACATCGGGTGCTAAATTTAACATGTGCATTTCCAAATGTACGGGACAAGAGATTTTAGTTTGATTATAAACCGACAATATACATTCTTCTATCATCCAGGTATAACAGACATTTGATATATCGGGTAGATTGTATAAAGGATGACTATCCACAGAGGTGTTGCGGGAAGAGCCGGCAGAATCTGGTCCTACACCAGAGTCTGCATCAGAACAAAGAGAATCCTGTAATAATGTTATCAAATACATCATAATACAATATTTAACTTTTCTCCCTTAAAAACTTACTTCCGATCTTCTTTCCCTTTTAGCGGTAGCATTTAAATAGGCAGAAAATACATTAAGAGCACCATCCTCGTTATTATCATTTTGCAAATATAAAGGACGTCTAGCACGATATTTATTTGTATAGCCAACAGCACCCATGGCCGCTGAATTGTCCGAAGACTCACCATTCGAACCGCCATCATTGCCTTCCGCCTTTTTACCATTTAAAGCCAACTTTTTCAAACACTTGGGACACATAACCAAGCGTGTTATTAAAAATCTTCCCTCGGATGTGTGCACAAAACGTGTACCCAACGAGGGATACCAATCTTCAAGCAGCAAATCAATATGATCTACAGATAATGCCAATAGTTTAGCAATCACCGGCATGTTGGGTTCAACCCGTGCCAAATGCTGTCTCTCGCCATCATCGATTTCTTGCAATATATTAATGTGTGTAAGGGGAAAATAAATTTCCAATATACTAGAGTTACACAGATTTATATCGCTCCAGACACCATCCAGTTTAAGTTTAAAGCGATTGTTTGTATTACGAAACGGTTGGGTATTGGCCGCCAAAGGAAATGGTACTTCCCATATTTTAAAAACTAATATGGGACCGTAATACAACGATACACCAGTTTGCCATAAATTCCATTGTGTATCATGTTCCAGAGATGTGCGCAAATCGAATTCAAGAGAATGCTAAAAAAGAAAAGCAAACAATTTCTATATTTTTGTTGTAAATTCTAAAAAGTAAAGCTCACATCATTCGAGGGTATATAAGCGGATTTTATAGCTTCAGTTAATTGTTCATCTGCTAAAAGTCTGGTGATTAAACGAGACCAAAAGCCTGAGGGAAAATAGGTCATTAGTAAAATACGTCTTAGACCCATTTCCAAAATATTAGAATCGCTGATATTCATGCTGTTGCTATTGTTATCCACTGGTTTATAAATCAAACTATTCAAATTGATTTCATTTGATACAGAGCAGCCTAAATTTAAATTACGACCACGAGTACGCTGGGAGATCTATTAAAAAGACCAAACAATAAAATATATTAAACAATTTAGAAGTTTAAATTAGTATACATAAGTCTAAAAGTAGGCAACATTATGGGGAATGTTAAAAAACATCTCATTGAATATTCTCGATACAAAATTTATTTTAATATTTACAATATTTACCTTAACGACTGTTCCAGTATTGGGTGTTACATCTTCATTTTGCGGCAACAGCGAGGGTATTAATAGAGTTCTGGAATCCCAGGTCAGAGCCACTTCAAATTTATTCAAAAGACTTACTATATAGGAACGATTAGTATTCATACCCTGCTGACTATTTGTATTGCGAAATAGTAAATTTAAATCATCCAATTTCATGATGCCGGTACGAGCAAATGGATTAATTTCTCTAACAGTTACCACATGAGCCAACATATCACACAACCACTGAGGATCAAGAAAATAATAATCTCTTAAAGTGGCATCATCATAGTGTAAAATCACACCATTATCATGTAAAAACATAGTGGCTTGATTAAGTTCCGACGAATCGCGAAAACTTTTATAATTGTGCAAACGCATTTCTTCAGTCACTAGTTTTCTATAGTTTTCAGCATCGAGAACAGGATCTAAACCAGCGGCTCTTAGATTACAGGAAATAACATTGACAATATCTTCCAGGGCTATATAACTGGCGGGTATTTTTTGTAATAGTAGAGGTTCTTTGGAACCGGGTGATCTTAGCATAAAGGCGGTATCGTATATAATATTTGCCAATAGGCGTATATTATGCATGGTTCGACAACTTATTTCTATAGAGTCTATAACACGAGGTAGACCAATCTTTTCAGCATCCGGTATGGCTATGAATTTTTCCCTAATGATTTGTTGCAATTCCTCGGCTTTTTCGGCGGAAAATGTTTCACCTACCGCATCGAAATGTGTGCCCACTATAATGACAGGAGAATTAGGAGCTCTAGCTTGTATATTACCCAACCACTGTAAAATCTCCGCTAGTCCCTGGTGGCCATCGGTGATTTTCCACAAAACTAAATACAAACTACGTTTGGAGAGAAAATATTGATGGGTGGCATAATATCTAAAATTTAAAACAGATTTAAAGTTTTACCAACACATTTTCCTTTAATTAAAGTAATAAAATCTTACTCTTTTTGTCCACCAAAATCCCAGGTGCGAAACATTACCGGACCATGAGAACCAGGAGCCTTTTTTCTCTTCTCACAAATCCAAGTGCCAATATCAACACCTACTGTAGAAATATTACCGCCACGCTGAGACCTAGACAAGTTCTTGGTATGACCCATGCGTTTAGCCCAATGATTTTCCGAAGCTCTGGATCTTTGAGAACCTACACCCTGACGTAGTAAATCTAGTAGTGTAGTTTTTCCTATGCCTTGCACACCCACCACCATTAATTTCATGCGTGCATAGGGCTGAGCATCTTCATAAATCGATTTCAAATAACCGATAATATCCATGGTCTTATACTTTTTACTTTCAATCATGGACTTGAGAGGATCCTGTAAAAGACAGCCACGCGTATTAAGATTCCAAAGACGTGTTAGTAAACCCAAGTGTGGTGGTAAATCCATTACATTGACATTGCCACTTATATTCAAAACACTAAGACTGGTGAGCTCATGCAGAGAAGTGGGTATCTCTTTGAGACAATTATTGCTAATGTCCAACATGGAGAGATTGGGAAATATTAGTTTGGATTTAGTTAGGCCCACTACACTCCAATCTGAGTCATCGCAATCATTAAAAAGTGTTGTCACATCATCCGTGGACAATTGTATGCGTGTCAGCAGGTTGTCAGCCAAAATTAAAGTTCTCAACGATTCCAATCTCAAGTGTCTCCTATGGCGACAAACACTTTTCAACACCGTGCTTCTAAATGAGGATGACTTGGGATTGTTGGGATTATGTTTGGCAAAAGAGGGTATTTCATCATTTTCACCACCTTGATTTTGAGCCACAAAACTATAGCACAAAAGATGAGGATCTGATTCGGTTATACGCGGCAAACTGGGCCAACAAGATATTTCGTTGTGACTTAAATCCAATTGTTTGAGTGTAGCTGGATAACTGGTAACATGACCCATGGAACGCAAACTATTGTAGGACATATTTAAACGTGTCAAATTAACAGCCAAGCAGGGTAATGCGGCCGGTATGCTGGTAAATAAATTATTTGCAATATTTAAACTATTAAGCTGTGAAACACCCTCTTCCTTTTTCGATTCATTCCATTTCATATCGTTGTCGGTGATCTCTAAACTAGAAAACCAGATATTACGATGCACCAATGGCTGTAGGGTGAGTATGCGAGTTTTACTTTTATTATCATTGCCATAGACATCGAAATTGGAAAACGGCTCCAAGTCTAATTTATCCAAACTCAATTGTGAAGAAGAGGTTTGCATGGGTGGCACCGGCAAGTCTTTTAGCAGATTAAAGGCAATATTTAATTCTCTCAACTTAGGGGCTTTCCACATATCAAAGGGCATCTCTTGTAGTTTATTATTCGAAATATCCAATATAGCTAAGGCAGGTAAATGGAATATTTCCGCTGGTATGCTTATCAATTGATTATCTTGTATATAGAATTCTTCTAAAACCGGCAAAGAATACGAAGCCCTACTACCGGGTGTATTAGCGGCTGGTGTGGGTAATTGTGTTATTTTATTTTGTGCTACATTTAAATATCTAAAGTCAAATAAGATTAAATGAATAAAGAAATATATGCAATGAAATCAATTTAAACTTACTTTAGAGAAACCAAACTGAAAATCTCGATAGGCAAGCTAATAAGATGATTATGAGAAAAATCAATACGTGTTATGGCGGTCAAAGCTACTTCGGTGATTTTAGGATGACCTTGTAGTTTCGGATTTAATTGTAAGACACCATTAACCATCCAATTGACCCTGAAAGTTTAGAATCAAAAAAGAATGAATAAATAAATGTAATTTAATAATGTTAAACTTAAAAAGTGTTTTGTTGTCTTTAAAATTTTAAAACAAAGATGTTAAACAATTGGTATTAATTATAAGGCTTCTTCTGATTTTAAAGATTCTTTCTGTAAATATAGTTAATTTATTAAAGATTAGATCATCTATAGTGAGTATTGATATTGGCACTTAAATTTGTGAGAAGAGAAAAAAGTTTCCTAGTTCGCATGGGCCATTAATGTTTCGCACTGGTGATTTTGGTGGACAAAAAGGATAAATCTTAACTTAAACTCTTTAAACGCAGCCTAGAGACCTCCGATAGGTTAGTGTTATAGTTTGGTAGACCGGAGTTGGTGGGTTCGATTCCCACCTGAGGCACTACCCAAACGTTTTGCAATACAAACAATTGCTTTAAACTTAAACTGGATGGTGTCTGGAACAATACATATCTGTCTAACTCTAGTATATTTGAACATTTTTTCCCATTTTTGAGCGGTAGATATGAAAATGCTATCATATAATACGCATGCTGTTAGAGCTTATTGAACTGCTGACCAGAACTGGAGGTCCTATTAACCCTTAACAATTTAAAAACTCTAATATTTTCTTTTAAGGAAAATAAAAATAAAAACTTCTTCGTACAATTTAACTAATTAACACTTACCTTACGAACGGTAACTGGACATTGTTATTATTGTGCCAATCAATTATGACCGGAGTATTGGGAAACATTGTACTATAGGAAATATTTGTAGCAGAAGGCATAAAAACTTTAACTTCCACCGGTGTGGGTAAGCCTTTCTTATTGATTTTATAATCAGAGTCAGGATGGACACGTTTGGCAAGTAGGCAATTTAAAATAGATTCATCCTCTGAAGCTACAGCCACACTTAAAGCAGAGCCATTATCATCGCGAGCACCATATCTTAACAAAAACAAATATAATAGATTATTAGGAAATTAATTAAATTTAAAAACAATTTATTTACTTCAACAACAACTCCACCATTGGCAAAGATCTTTGTTTACACGCCTCAGCTATAGGAACATTACTCAGACCATAGATTTCCTCACTACACTTGGGATCATTGTGATCCTCTACTGGTTTGGCAATAATATTTGGATTTGCACCATTCTGCAAGAGCACAGTAACAACATCTAGAAAACTGCCTCTTACTGCCGCCAATAAGGGAGTCTCCCGCGCCGCACCACACAATAGATTTACATTTATCGGACATTTATCACATTCTAGAGACTCTTCTTTAAGTGCCTGCTCACCATCGCCGCTTATATTCAATTTGGACATTATGGCTTGTATACCAAACGAAATACGTTTGCGTGTCGGTGTTATGGGATTACTTTGGGGACTTTGTGCACAAGTTTTGCGAGCTTTTACTTTCCATTTGACTAAAACATTGACTAGAGCTTTATTGCCTAAAATACTGGCTATATAGAGGCTAGTTTGTCCGGTAACATCTTGAGCATTAGGATCGAAGGGTAGACGCCATTCCCAGACGCCTTCTTCATCGCGATATGTTGAGTAGAGGTAATCGGGATAGGAAAAATTGATAAGTAATTCGAGTAATTCTATATGACCATTGATGCAGGCAGCATGAAGAGGAAGCCATTTTTCAACTGTGGGTTGCTGTGAAGGAATATATTGTTTATTATTTATAGTTTAAAAGGAAAATATTTATATTTGCCTGTATCAAGTCTGGAAACTTTTCTAACATAGTTTTGGCAATATTATAATGACCATTATGTACCGCAGCGTATAGCGGTGAATATTTTGTTACGGTATGAGAACGACCATCCGAACCAGCATCTAATAAACGATTTGTTATACTTTCATAACCAGACTGAGAGGCTCTGAAATATGTAAAAGAACATAAACAAATATATTTAAAAAAGAGCATTTGTTATTGTAAACAACTTACAAAAATAACAAAGTATTTGCCCCTGCCGGTGCCATATTGACAATTATTTGTCTTTCACTGCCCAAAGCTTCCAAAAGCACACGTACAGTACGCTCATCTCCAGTGGATACCGCCTGTCTCAGTTCACGATGTTTTATCAGACGCACCTGTTCACGAGCATCTGAAAAGTAGACAAATTTTCAAGAAAATTTTATTTATTTTAAAGTTTTTTATTATTTTTGTTCTTTTTCTTTTGTTTTTTAATGAATCACCTAAAGATTTTGTAACTTCAATGACCTCATCAAGAAAATAATCACAAGCTTCTAGTGCGGTTTCAGTACCCGATTTTGGTTTCTCTACAAAACTCCAGTCCATTTTGTAAAAACTTTTATTTAATTATATCAAAGTAATTGTAATTAATGATCAATCAATTTGTTTTGCAAAAGAATACATGAAAAATGTCTTTAAAAAAATGCATCCATTAACAATATGTCTTTAATTCTGTACTCCCAAGTCAACACCCTTAACCGTACACTTATTTCAGCCAACTAAATTTTGCGTTCGGTTTTCGTTAACAAAATGCCATCGTTTTGAATTTGGTTAAAAATCAATTGTCAACATGTCATATGAGACTATTTGTTAAGATTTCATTCATAAAACCAAACAACCAGACCAGAGGGTTGTGTTTTATTTATAACAACCACCCATCCAGTGACTATAGAGTTGTGGTTGATAACAACAACTGCGCAAGACACGCACATCCAACCAGCCAACCAACTGTTGCACGTGTAATTCATGTTGCACTAAATTTCAACAAGATTTATTTGTTTTTCTTCTTATTCAGGGAAATCTCATTGTGGGGCGGGAGGGCATTATTATAATGATTATTGAATTTGTGTCATTGTGTATCATTAGCTTTAAAGATTAAATAGCAGGAAAAAAACTAGTAGTAATTGATACTTGGCACTTGGGTATGATAATCCATATGGAACATGGTTAGCGAGTATAGTATCTTTCTTTCTTTTTTTATAGGTTTTATGCAAATTATTTATTGTTGTTTTGCATAAGGTTTTCAAATTGATTATTACATAATAAAGACGAAGGTGTTAGGGGAAATTTTATTTAATTTATAAGACTTCATTTGGTTTTAAATAAAACGCATAATGTGTGATAAATATTTTAAATATAATTATAATCTCGTAAATAATTTAAAACTAAGAAACGTAAAGGCAGTTTAAGAGAGACCGGCAGTCAGCCTATCAGACAAACAGAATTTAATAGAACTCATAATAATTTTGAAATTTAAATGGGGGCTATGTTCAATTATGGACCGATACGCAAAATGATTTGTATATGTATATACAAATAATATTCGCCTAAAATTTATTATTATTAATTCAAGAGTTATTTACTATTAAGTGAATTTCGGAACTAGACTTTATAAGGAAGCTATGACCAATTATGAGCCAATCCGGAAATAATTTCGCTAATATGTGTATGTGTTAAAATTTGTCCCGATATAAATTACATTTGCGAAATTTACTTTAGGGATGTATCTTATATATGGGAGCTAAGGTCAAATATTGACTGATCCAGGTTTTAGTTGGTAATACAATTTCTATTCATATTAGATTTGTATATGCAAAATTTTGTGGAAATGCCGATATTCTAGAGGGAGTTATTAACAATAAATCTATTTTCCGGGAGTATGTAAATTTGTATGAGAGCTACATTTTGAACCAATTCTAATAATTTTCAACGAATTTAATCCCCGTACTAAAGAAAACACTTGTGACAAAATTCGTTAAAATAGCTGCTATAGTTTTTGAAAAACGTAATATTTTCATGGGTTGTTTCAGAATTTTGATCATATCTCTATTATTTATGGACCATTTTTGATGATTTTAAATAGAAAATAGAATTAGAATAGAATAAGAATTTTACGTTCATAAAATTGATTCATCAAACACAACAACAAACCTATTTAGCAAAATTGATACGATCGTTCTTTTTTTGATACTATTTGAAGTTCGAAAGTACCGTGATACTTCCAAGATGCATTATATATTCTGAAACTATGTTCATAATCATACGTAGAGTTTATTGGAAAAGTTCATATTCTATGCGCCACTCTATGGATCTTTCTAAAAACCTAGCACGTATACGATTCCTAAACAGATTAAAAATTAGAATAGAGAAATACTGTCAGAATAATAAACAACCAGATAGAATTACAGATAGATCTCGTTCCCACGATCATTCGACCAAAGATTGATAATTCAGCAACAGCTGCATCAATCGACTTTTTTTCCCAGGGAAGAACGTCCAGTTAAAGCTAATCTGTTACAACAACAACAGACAGATCTACATACATACATCAGGTATAACCGTAATTCTATTTTTGAAAGTTTGTCTTAAACTTACTTTCACTTTAGAACCTCAAAATCATTGTACTTTTAGTTTTAGAAATTATATAGTAATTCATAACTACGATGTATATTAAAAAATCCCTATCATTCATATTTTAAACACTTCTTGGCAACTCTACCCACTAAATGGCTAAAAGCCAATAAAAAATGAAAACTGAATGTTTTGTTTATATTTAGCTAAATGCATTCATAAAAGCCATGGAAATCCTATCCTCATCACAACTGAACTACTAATGCACTTGTCATACGATATGAAAATCAATAATTTTCAATTTCGTCACAATTAAAATGCAATTAAATATTAATTGCAAAATAAAATCAACTCACCCTCATCCGAGTCACTCATATTTTATTTTTAATTGCTTCAAAAAATCTCTTTATTGCACTTTTACTTTAAACGTTGTCTATTTCTTATTAAACTTTTATATTTACAAGCATCAAATAATGCATATTTTGCCAATTAATTTAATTTCTTTCTACGTTTTTCATCACTTTTTCTGCGGATAGTCAACAAAATTTTGCATCTCAAATCAGAGCCCTGCGCCGACAAATATTAACGACGTCGGCGACTGACACTAAATATGTCGGCGGCGGCTTAAAATCGACTGTAAGCCGGCTAAGTTTTCAACTACGTTTAGTTTTTAAATTTTCAACGATTTTAAATAAAAACGGAATCCGAAAGATCAGAAAGTGGGATTTTGGAAGCAAATATATTGTTTATAACAAAACAGAGCAAGCTCAAAAGTTGTATGAGAAATTATGCAGGGATGAATAAAAAATTCTTAAAAATTAAAAATTTATTCCCCAAAGGGTCCGAATTTGAAAAAAATTACCAGACACCTGTCCGCTTTTTTTTAAATGAACTACCGAATTTACGTTTTTACCCTTTTTTAACCCCCAAAAAATTTCCAAAAATCCCGTCTTATTGGATACATTTGGTGGGAGACTAACCTCCAACAAAATTTAACACTAATATGTTGTGTACATACAAAAATTATTGACCGAAATTTTTTCCTATTCGGCCCATAATTAGTCATAGCTTCCCTTTATCTTCTGAATCTGAAAAGCATCTTCTGAAAATCACTAAATTGTAAATAATTTTAATTAGCATAATGATACCGGAATAAAATTCTACACGAATATGTTTTGTATGAACAAATCATTCACACCTTTTCCGGATCGGTCCATTATTTGTTTATTTAAAAATGTAAATTTCTATAAATATTCGACATGTTAATAAAAAAACTAGCTTTTAAGTCAAGGATATATAAGATTCGGCATAACCGAATAAACCAATTATTTCATGGAACTAGAAAACGCTTTCTTCGATTTTAGTGTTTTTTCAAACACCAACAATGCAATAATCAACACAATACAACTCTGTATTATCTCTATATGTGAATGTAATATAAAATGTCAGACAAAATAAAGACGACAATAAATCTACGCAAGTAGACGACAAATAGAAAAATAAAAATACGTGAAAAGAGGAAAAATCCACGAAAAAAGTTTATTATTCTTTTTTCCGCTACAAAAAGTTATAAAAAATAGTAAAATTATTAAAAAATTTTAAGTGTTTCCATGCATAAAACGCATTCAATATGAGTTTATTAAAATCTTACAAAATTGAGCTGCAAATTGTTAAGTGAAAAACAAGTCTGAAAAAATTCTTAGAAAACAGTGAGGTGCGCTCTACATCTACAGTTTGGAGTAAGAAAAAAAGAAAGGAATTTATTTTTCATCCTGTATTGGACAAATATTAACGAAAAACATAGTTTAGGAAGGATTTACATATATAAAAAATAAGGTAAGTGTGATTTGTTATAATTAAACTAAAACATTGCATTTAAAGAATATTTGGAGTGTTTATTGGGGATTCCAAAGAATTGAAGATGAGTGTGTGTTTTTTCATTAGTTTGGGTGCGACATTAAATTTCGACGACAACGTCAAAGATATAAGACGTTAGCAGCGCTGTTTTATCAAAGTACACTTACAAACGTAAAAAAGGTTTTTGTTTTTATTACTTGTTTTTTGTTGTTGTGGGATTTTCTGTTTTGCAGTGTGTGGAGAGGGGGAGCCAAATATGTAGTTTTCTTTTTGTTTTTACTACAAGTCTATTGAAAAAGAAGTTACTCAAGGTATTTTTTTTTTTAATTTTACTAACTATTTGGTTTATCGCACATGCGGCGTAAAGGATATTTTTGTATTCGTCATTTTTTTTACAAATTTAAGTAGTACAATTTTGTTTATGTTTTCTTTGGCCTCATATCATTAAAGTTTTCTAACTATTTACATATGTAAGTATTTGAAATGCATTTCAAAGTATTTCAAGTTATCTCAGTCGAAGGGCGTACTACCCCGACCCGATCAAAATCCAAGTGTTAGGGATAACCTGTGACAACCTCTCTCAGCGACATATAAAGCAATTGATCGAAGTTTTCTCAATTATGCTGCACCGAATGTACATCCGTTTTCTGAGGTACCCAATGATAAGGTTTATGAACGGCAGAAACCAACGCCCTCCGAATCGCAACCGGATGTGTCAAGATGAGGAATGTGGATCATTTACATGAGGACACCATGTTACTGTCGGTTGGAAAACATTGTGTTGTTGATTAGATAGTACCTGTTGGCATGTCATCTGTCGAGTTATTGCAACCATCAGATTCTCGACATATGCGGATGGACTTCCAACGTTTTCGCAGCGACATCCTAAACGTCATATCATTAGACGTTGACACATTGTCCATTCCAAACCTCAGAAAACGCTTGCGTCAGTGAGAGCAGCTTTCTAGGCATTGAAAAACCATTTTAGCAGAATTAAGTCCGCATGATACAATTCAGCAATTTCTACAAGTTTCTCTAGCTTCCTTTTCCACCCACAAACAGAAACTCGAATAATTAACAAATTTCTTACTATAATTTCAGAAAGGAAATTTCAGTAATATACAGTAAAACTATTACAACAACAAATGCGATTTTTTAACCACGGGACCGTTATAACTAATATCTTGCTAATAGGTTCAAATATATTTTGATTTCATATGAAGTTAAATAAGTTTAACAAATAATTAGAATCTCAATACTAGCTTTAAAAGTTACAATTGAAGACATTACAGTTTCTACAGTGACAACAAATATCTATTATTTTCTACCAACTATGAAAAATCCTTCTTCTCTTTTTAGCTACTGCTTAGAGGTATATTTTTTGCTAACAGCCAACGTCTTGCCTATTTTACATCATCAATAGAAAATGGCACCGTTGGCAGGTCCTTCATTTTCCATAGATACCTGGAAAAATGATCCACCAGATGTGGAACTTAAATGTTTTTTACCGAATGGCATATTTCTAACTCTAAGTGTACCCGCTACTGCCACCATTAGAGAAATAAAAACGGTAAACACAATTAAATCAACACCCAGTTACATAACAATTTAACTAAACTTATCATATTCTATTCAATTCAATTCAAGGAAATGGTTAAACAATCAAAAAATTATCCACTTCACAATCTTATCAAAGATGCTTGCGATTATGAGGTCAGTGGTATATCGGCCATTGCTCTAGTCGAACCGTTTACAGATGAAACAAAACGTTTATGTGAAGTTCAGCCTTATTTCTGCCTTTTACGCTTGGGCGAACGCAGTGAAACTACTGCAATTTCCAGTGATTATGAACTATCGAAATTGGTCAGTAATATGATTGGTAAATCATTCGAAGACTATAGTGCGCAGAGAAGTCCTGAAGAGGATGATTTCCGTCGTAAAATGACACTGCTATGCGATGAAATCGAATTGGAACGTTCCAAATATCGTTGGACAGATAAACTACTGTACGAGCACCCGTTACGTTTGGCAAATAATCCCGTTATGCCGGAAATAATTCGTACACGTTTTCGTAATTCAAATTTTTTAGTTGTTGTTAAGTTAGAAAATGATGAAACATCATTTACGATCTCTGTCAGTGATCAGCATACACCACGAACCCTGGTAGATTTGGCTCTATCGAAAGTTCGTAAATCTCAAATAAAAGTTAGTGATCGAGCTTCAGACTACATATTGAAAGTGCGCGGTCGTGACGAATACTTGTTTGGTGAATATCCACTAATACAATTTATTTATATACAGGTAGGTTATTAATTAAAGGAAAAAGCTTTAAAACACTATTTAATGCATTCTAATTATAGGAAAGCCTTTCTGGTTCAGATGTTCCCAATGTTGTACTCAAACCCATACATACCCTACCCTCATACATTAGCTATAAACAGGAATTAAATGCTGCCCCCAAGAGACCACCAAAACCCGAAAGTCTGCGCCATCAATCGAATGAAATGGTAAAACGAAAAATAAAAAGCTCATGGGAAATCGAGAATCATTTTCGTCTACGACTGCATCGCATTGATAATGTTAACTGTGATTTGGCCAGAGGCATTAAGGTCGGCGTACACATCGGTCTCTATCATGGCGAGCACAAGTTGTGCGCTCAACATTCGGTCGACATTGCCAGCAGTAATAATCGTTCATTTACCTTTGACAAGGACATTGTCTTAGATATTCCTCTACAAAACTTGCCACGCATGACTAGACTCTGTATGGTCGTCTATGAAGTGACAAAGACATCACGCTCGAAGAAACACTCAAACGCTAGCAAAGAGAATACCATACTAAAAGACGGCAATGTTAATGTCAATTCATTGGCCTGGGTCAATACCACACTGTTCGATTATAAACATCAATTGAAAACGGGCTGTCAAACGTTACATACCTGGACGTATGCCGACGATATACAATCGGATGAGATATTTCATCCGTTGGGCACCATTGAACCAAATCCACGTAAAGATGAGTGTGCTGTGGTACAACTCACATTCCATAATTACGGTTACGATAATATACAGTATCCTTCGGAAGAGACAGTCCTACAATATGCCTCCAAATTAGCCGCTTGTAAAGAGCCACTCAGTCGCGGTTCATCTCAGGATGGGGCGGCTACAGTTAGCAAAGTTCTATCACAGTATTCACGTACTATTAATAAACTTTATGAAATGCACGATCAAGATCGTAATGATATATGGGAGAAGAGGTAAGTAGTATTCACTGATGCCTTGAATACTTATATCCATATTATTATTATTTTAGATACTCCATCAAGCAAGATGAACCCGAAGAGCTATCTATACTTCTACATTGTGTTAATTGGAATGAACGCGACGAGGTGGCCGAAATGTGGCTGTTGCTTAAAGAATGGCCCATAATATCTGTAGAACGTTCCTTAGAATTACTAGATTATGCCTATCCCGATCCAGCAGTACGAAATTTTGCCATTCGTTGTCTAAATAAATTAAAGTAAGTTTACCAAACAAACAAAAAGCAAAATTAAATAATGAAATACAACTTTCAGAGACGAAGAACTTTTGCTGTATCTGCTGCAATTGGTACAGGCCATGAAACATGAATCTTATTTAGATTGTGCACTCACCACATTTGTCCTAGAGCGAGCTTTGCGCAATCAACGTATCGGTCACTATTTCTTTTGGCATTTACGCTCCGAAATG